TACAATTGAAAAAAATTTATTGTTTCATAACCATTAATAAATAATTGTTACATTGTTGAAACAGATATTAGATCTTAATTTTTTTTTGTAGGTACAAGTGGGAACATTGCGTTCTGAGGGAAGATGTAAACTCTCGACGAATTTGTTTAGCTTATCGTGAACTTACACCTCCTTATCTAAAAAATTTATCAGAGAATGAAGAAATAAAAACAATTTTACAAAGAGCATTAATTTTTCAATGAGATTGGAAACAATTTTTACTAGTAAAGAATGCAATNTCTATGATTTATATTTATACACATGAATAAATTTCTTTTCAGCATATGTTGCAAAAATTATTCATGATTTTTTTTTAATTATTGTATTTAAGAATAGAGAAAAAGCGTGTAGCACAAGGTTTTCACGTCATTACCTTTTAGGTGAAAACGGTAAATTGAAAGTTGGTACAAAATGTTTCTTTATAAAATGATTTACTTTAGCATGCAATTTGGTTTAANCATGAAAAAAATTCTTTTCAGCATATGTTGCAAAAATTATTCATGATTTTTTTTTAATTATTGTATTTAAGAATAGAGAAAAAGCGTGTAGCACAAGGTTTTCACGTCATTACCTTTTAGGTGAAAACGGTAAATTGAAAGTTGGTACAAAATGTTTCTTTATAAAATGATTTACTTTAGCATGCAATTTGGTTTAAGAATAACTTTTATTCTGTTATCCGATTTATCTAGTTTTTAATTGTATAACATATTAGCAATTGAAATTTATACTATTCAAACTTGAATGTAAAGAAACGATTTTTTAACGTTTACCTTTTGAATAAATGAAGAGCTTAGAAAGTACAGGATAATGCTAATATACTTTCGGAATTTAAATATACGGCATAATAGGAGGTTTATGACAAATGATTAAATAAAAAAGTATTCAATGAAAAATCTATAAAGAGAAGAGAAAAATACTAGGCGGCATTTTTTGTAGGTTCAGGGTACATATAAACGACAGGAAAAGTTGTTAAAGGATCTGATTTCCCCAATGGTTCATAGCCATTAACCAAGCTTTCTCGAAGTTCCCATCTACGACGCTCTCTTTCAGTTTTCTGTTTCCTAATTGCTTTACCTAATATGCAAGCAAACATTATTCCAGTGAACTGAAAATAATAATATACAATTAATTTTCACGTACAGATAAGTAAAAGTATGAAATATATAAGAAAAAGGATTTTTCTAATAATTTTTTAAAACCTTGATTGTTAAAGTTAATTAGTTTCGAATTCATCTTCCAAAATTTTACTAGGATGTAATTTGTTATACAGCAAGAAATAAAAAATCTACATATATTTACCTGAATAAGAGCGATGGCCACAGCACCAGTACCAATGTAAAGTACACTTCTGTGAATGAGAACCGAAAGGTTTCTAACACATCCTATTCCGTAGACATTACATCCATCGCCAGTAACATAATCACATGGTATGTTGTCACTAAATATTCCGTGAGGACGACAAGATTCTGGTAAACGATCTCCTGTCTCTTTCATAATTTCATCCCAATCGTGATAGTCATTGTATCCGCAACAATAAAGCTATAATTACCAGAAAAAAAATTTATTTAATGATTTTACGATTATGTATAATGTTCATAGAAAGGTAGTGATAGTTGTGATAGATATCACAAAATGCCTTATTGGCTGAGATAAATGCATTATGTTAGAACAGGCTCCAATTAATATTACAAACGTTAAAAATTTGATGTATATTCTGTACATGGTAAAAATACAAGCTACCTATGTACTCCTTCTATTCGTTAATGAACCATATACATTACCCTTGACTGTAAAAAGTCAATAGCTTTTTTAGCATCTTTATCCGTTGAATATTCGTGCATAGTAGCATTAATATTTTCAGCTAAGACACTTTTTATGTCATCCTGAAGAGCATAAGCTGTAATTGCAGCAGCTAATTCCAGTACGAGAACTACAGAGAGCGATACTGCAAACTATAAAAATACTTACTATTATCAAACTTGTTTACGTTATATGTATATAGACCATATAAAAGTATATTAAAAAATTTTGATAAATCCAATAGAAAGAAACGGAGAGAATTGATCCAAGTGAAGTTAAAAGCGAATATTTAAATAAAGAATGTCAATTATTAAAGTAAATTGAAGGGTACTTACTATAAGAACCATGCAAGTACTTTCTTTAAGAGCTCCAAAACATCCTAGAAATGCGATTACAAACACAAGGATGCCTACTATGATCAAAAGAGTTGCTGGAGATATGTATTTTGGATCAAGAAACTTCGAGAAGTCGTCATTAACTGCATAAATTGTTGTTCCAACAGATATTATCATAATACCTGTTAACTGCAATAATGAAAAAGAAATTATAGGACTTTGAATTA